CCAGGCCCCGCCCCACAGCGCCTCCAGCCCGCGAGGTGAAGGAGCAAGGAGTGGGCGACGAGCCCCTGATTGGCCCACCAGCCCGCAGATCATTTGCTGGCCGAAGGGGCGGGCCCAGAGGCACTGACGTCACGCAGGGAACACCTGGGGAGCAGCTGCCAGGCCGCGCAGAGCGCACCAGAGGGCCCTGTGTTAAGATGCCAGGAAGTGCAGACCTTGGACCTCAGACCCCGCCTCCCGGACCCCGACCCGCCGCCGCAATGTGCGACTCCGAGCGTGGCTGGAGCGTGTCCTTCGTGGGCTGCGGCTTCCTAATCTTCTACCACCTCGGGGCGACCCGCTGCCTGAGCGAGCGCGCCCCGCACCTCCTCCGCGACGCGCGCATGTTCTTCGGTGCCTCTTCTGGGGCGCTGCACGGCGTCACCTTCCTCGCAGGTGTCCCTCTTGGTACGTCCGGGGCTGCACGGGCTCCTTGCCAGGAGGGGGCGCCCCCAGGCCTGGGCTGCGGGCGACTCCTAAGGTTGCGGGGTGCCCGATGGATCCGAGTTTGGACACGGAAACTGCAGGTGCATCCGGGGGACCCTGCAGACAGATGCCCCCTCCACTGCGTCCTCTAGCCTCGCGCGGGGCGGCTCTGCCGCCCAGTCTGGGAGGGGGCGCGCCTTGGGAGCGGCTCCTCTGGGCGTGGGAATCCCGAGCATCTCCTCACCTCACCCCCTTCTGGAGCCGGGGCTTGAAGGAAGCCTGTTCCCCACCACCTAGAGCTGCAGGCGGAAGGGAGCTTGTCCGGGGAGGCGCGGGGTGGAGCTGATCCTTGAGGTCCCCGCCATCCCCTGGGGAGGCTCTGGGCCAGCTGAGCTGCCAACAGGGAGAGTTGAACCAAAGTTGACCCCTCAATGAATAGGGATCAGAGAAGAGTCACTTGTCCCTGAAGGTCAGTGGTGCCCCAGGAGGGCTTCCAGGAGGAGGTGTCCCCGAATCACTTGGGGACATTTAAACTCTGCTGCCCCTCAGGACTGTGGTCCTAGTGCAGTCAACCCTCCCGCTCCATAGGTTTCCCACCTGTGGATTCAGCCAACCACACATCAAAAATATTCTAGCCCTAGTTGGTTTGGCTCAGTGGATAGAGCATCGGCCTGTGGACCGAAGGGTCCCGGGTTCAATTCAGGTCAAGGGCACGTACCTCAGTTGCAGGCTCCTCCCTAGCCTGGATCTGGCCGTGTTTGTGCAGGCAGAAACCAATCGATGTGTTTCTCTCACATCATTGTTTCTCTCTGTCTGCCCTCTCTCTTCCACTCTCTGTGAAATTCAATGTAAAAATATCCTTGATTTGCATGTTTGTCTTTTATTAGTGTAGATATATATACTAGAGGCCTGGTGCATGACATTCGTGCACTGGGGGGCGGGGGTGCCCTCAGCCCAGCCATCACCCTCTCACAGTCTGGGACCCCTCGGGAGATGTCATCGGACCTAAGCCAGCAGTCGGAAATCCCCCGAGGGGTCCTTAGCACAGCAGCAGAGGCAGGAGAGGCTACCGCCACTACTGCTGCGCTGGCCAGCCGTGAGCCCAGCTTCTGGCCATGAGCCCACAGGGGGAGCACACTGACCACCAGGGGGCAGCTCCTGCATTGAGCGTCTGCCCCTTGGTGGTCAGTGTGCATCATAGCGACCGGTCGTTTGGTTGCTTAAGCGTGTGTGTGTGTGTGTGTGTGTGTGTGTGTGTGTGTGTGTATTCCAGAAAGTCCCAAAATGCAAAACTTGAATTTGCCCCTCGCCGCGCCCTACCCTGAATCCACGGAGTGAGCAGTCCAAGCCTGCCGCTCCTGCTCATCCCAGCCCTACTGCACCTGCCACAGGCTCACACCCTGTCAGTCACCATTGGGAGAGGCTCACAGCACCCAGCAGTGCTCACTAACCGTGAGCCCTGCATCTGGTGCCCACCCAAGGGGGGGCGGCCTGGGAAGTGATCAGCCCTCCAGGTAGGCGGTGGGTCGACTTCCAGGAGGCCAGGTGGTGCTGTTGGGGATCTTGCCAGCGGAGTGGTCTGTCAGTGCCTGGCCCGTTCTCCAGAGATTGGGCCTGCAGGAAGACTGAGGGAGTGTGGTGGGTCGCCGGGACGGGTTGGTCAGCTGAGGGCGCTCCTGCTGTGGGAGCGCACTGACCACCAGGGGGCAGCTCCTGCATTAAGCGTCTGCCCCTTGGTGGTCAGTGTGCATCATAGCGACCGGTCGTTTGGTTGCTTAAGCGTGTGTGTGTGTGTGTGTGTGTGTGTGTGTGTGTGTGTGTATTCCAGAAAGTCCCAAAATGCAAAACTTGAATTTGCCCCTCGCCGCGCCCTACCCTGAATCCACGGAGTGACGTGGAGTGTAGGGTGCCTGCTGTAGCCTGTGTGCAAACCCTACACCATTTACGTGAGGGACTAGAGCATCCATGAATGTCGGTACCTGAGAGGAGCCCTGGACCAGTCCCCCACAGATCCTGGGGAGACTCTGTGGGTGCAGCCTGGGCAGTAGGATGTGTCGAGTTACCCACATGACCTTATTCGTGGCCACGGTCACGAACCACGCAGCACTGTGGTGGCTGTAGTATGCCTCCCCACCCCAACAGTAAGGGGATGTGTGGACATGGGCCCTAACAGGGATGGGGGGGCCAGGAGGCTGCAGGGAAGTGGGCAGGACAGTGAGCAGCCCGCAAGGGCTCCCCCTGGAGGCAAGGCCCTGCACCAGCTGGTTGGTGTGGGTGGTTTGTGCACAGAGCAGGGGAGGCAGCTGTAACTGTCCCCCGAGGACCAGGACAGGCCTGTCATGCTGGGTGACAGCAAAGGCCCCATGGAGGGGTGTCGTTCCTGCCCAGTGCCTTGTCCGGCCATGCCCGGCCCATGGAGGCAGCTCAGAGTTTGAAGGAGTCTTCAGTTTAAATGAATGAGGCTTAGCGATTCGGCCCGGTAGTTCACTTACTTGCCTGGCTTACAGGTGCTTCTAGAGATATGCCTGCGAGGGTACTTGGATGCGGTCAGGTTCCTGGAAGAAAAAGGTACGTAAGAGCTGGGGAGCAGACGAGCCCTTTTCTTTAAAAAAAGAAAAGAAAAAAATATATATGGTTTTATTGGTTTCAGAGAGAGGAAGGGAGAGGGAGGGAGAATCCGCAATTCGGGCAGTGCGCTGGCCGGGAACAGAACCGTGCCCTCCGGGTTCATGGGTTGAGGCTCGTCCACTGAGCCACACTGGCCGGGCCAGATGAGCCCTTTTCCTCCGCTGTTTGTTAGCAGCCTTGGTGAGCCCCAGAGTCTGTGCCGTCACTCGGTGAGGAGTCGGGCTCCTGAAACATTAGCGTGGAGCCCACCGTTAGATGTGTTCGGAGCTGCTTTTCTTCGATGCTAAACGTTGGCTCCTGTATTGACCGCGTCCATTACTCTGAGGCCGAGACAAGGAGACCGTCTGGTCACCAGGACCTGCACGTGTCACCCACTCAGGAAGTGCCCATTGTGTCCCTTCCAGGTCCACGCACGTGGCTGAGAGCGGGGGGCACTGCCACCCGGAGCTCACTGTGTGGATGGATGACGTGTGGAGGGATGACATGCAGAGGGCGTGACAGGATGTGGGATGCTACAGGGTCACTCAGGAGGGAGCTGCAAGGCCTGGGGGAAAGGAGGGCTTCCAGGAGGAGGTGACTCCACTTTGGAGATGGATAGGAGGGGAAGAAGGCCTGTGTAACTGCAGTGGCTGAGAGATGGACAGAGGAGAGGCGCAAGCTGGGCCCCGTGCACGTGGTGAAGCTTGCACTGCGGCAGTAGGGAGCCACGGAGGGCTGCTGAAGCAGGAGGGAGGGAGGTCAGAGGGGAGCGTGGGAAGGCCCCTCTGGATGTCTGGTGGCTGCTGGCCTCCTGTCAGGGTGGGTGGGTGTGTGAGTAATGCCCCCTGTCTCCATGCCCCGCGTAGGCATCTGTGACAGGCCCCGTCCGAGCCCGAGTGTGCCCTCGGCAGCGCCCGAGTTCCTTCCCTTCTCCTGGGAAACCGCGAGCCCCGAGGCTTCCCCGGGGGCGGCTGCCTGGCAGAGGAGGCCCGAGGTGGCCGAGCTGCTGGCCCACCTGCGTGTCAGCCTCCTGCCCTGGGACGAGAGCATCCTGGAGACACTGTCGCCCAAGCTCATTGCAGGTGAGACGCCTCTGGCGGGACAGCAGGGTGTTGCTTTCTGTTGCTGAGACTAAGAGGGCTTCTCTGGCGGGTTGGGGAGGAGGGTGATGCTGCCACGGGGAGGAGATGAGGCCCCACCTCCTGGCACCATCTCCCCACGCAGGCGCCTTGCTCAGCCTCCCTTCCCCGTGTGCATGGCCAGAAAAAGCCACACTCCCGGTGAGCCCGTTGTGTTAAGCGGGCATGCGCCCAGTTCCTGGGTCCGGGCACACCGGATTGCGGGGGCCCTGAGGGTGCGCCCCTTCTTCCAGAACACCATTCTCTGCCTGGGCCCCCGTCTCCACGCCTTCTTTCTGGAGGAGCCTGTCTGCCTCCCCCTTCCCCGAACCCTCAGCTTTGAACTTGTCCTTGAGCGACGGTAGTGCATTTGATCATGTCGTCAGACACCAGGTGGACCAGGAGTGCAGACCAGATGCATTCGGGCACTGGGAGAAATTCAAAGATAAACACGACGCTGGTGCCCAGGTTGCTACGATTTGAGGGTCCTGAGGCCACGACGAAGGGGAAACAGAAGCCAGGGCTCCAGGCAGAAGAGGGGGTGTTGGGAAAGCCCGTAAGGCGGGTGGGGTTGGGGGTCCGTGTCTCCTCCAGGGAGAGCTGCCAGTGGGACAGTTGATCCGGGGCCTGTGGCTGTCCCAGGGCTGTTCTGGCCGCACTCCCTGCTCCATGGCATGGGCCCGGCTTCTGATTCTTTGGCAGCAGGATTTGTGTGTTTCGCTGGAATTGCAGGCAGCACCTGGGTGAGGTTACACTGGGGGACGCCCCTCCCCCCAATGGTATCTTTCAGGCCTGAGTGAGGCACTTAGACCCCGAGGTGGCTGGTGGAGCAAGGTCTGCAGGTTCCTACCGGTGAAGGCCATGTCTTACGTGATGCTGCCCTGTACGCTGCCCGTGGAGTCCGCGCTCGCGGTGGCCCAGAGGTGAGCCGTGTGGGCGGCTTTGTGTCTCGGGCTTGAGTGAGGGTTAAGGGAGAGTTCACGTAAGGCCCCACGCCTGGGCCTGGCCCCTGTGCGGTGCAGTAGGGGTGACAGTCCATAGGGTCTGTCCCTGAGAGGTGCCTCGTGCTGAGGCCTGGCCCAACCTACCTCCTTTCTTTTTATTCATTTTTTATTGGTTGATTTTAGAGAGTGGAAGGGGAAGACAGAGAGAGAGAGAGAGAGAGGGAGAAAGAAAGAGATCATTTTGTTGTTCCACCCCATTTATGCATTCATTGGTTGATTCCTGTGTGTGCCCTGGCCGGTGATTGAACCCACAACCTTGTCCTACCCAGATGATGCTCTCAGCCAACTGATCTACCTGGTCAGGGCTGTCACCTCCTTTGTCGTTGCTGTTGTAGGCTTTTCACTTCTTGCAGCTCCGCCCTTTTATTTGGGGACTGTATTCCGGGTAAGGAGGGACTTGAGGCAAACAGGTGTGCACCCGGAGTCCTGGGCATTTATTTTACTCTGTTTTCCACCAGTCTGCATTCCCACCAGCAGTGCATGAGGGTTCCTTTTCTCCACATCCTCGCCAGCACTTGTCGTTTGTGGATTTGTTGATGGTAGCCATCCTGGCAGGTGTGAGGTGGTACCTCATTATCGTTTGGATTTGCATTTTTCTGATTATTAGTGATGCTGGGCATTTTTTCACGTGTCTCTTGGCCATTTGTATGTCCTCTTTGGAGAAGTGTCTATTCAGGTCTTCTACCCATTTTTTAATTGGACTGTTTGTCTACCACTTGTTGAATTAGATGAGTATTTTCTACATTTTTGGAAAACCCCTTAGCAGATGTATCAGTGGCAAATATGTTCTCTCATGCAGTGGGCTCCCTTTTCATTTTGATGCTGGTGTCTTTGGCTGTGCAGAAGCTTTTTATTTTGGTATATTCCCTCTTGTTTAGTTTTTCCTTTGTTTCTCTTGCCCTAGGTGATGCATTTTAAAGTCTTTTTCGTCAGATATGAGTATTGCTACCCCAGGTTTTTTTTTCTTTCATTTTCATTGGCATGGAAAATTTTTTCCATCCCTTCACTTTCATCCTGTGGAGTCTTTTGTTCTGAGGTGGGACTTTATAGACAGCCTATATATGGGTTACATTTTCTACCCATTCAGCTACCCTATGGGTTTTTATTGGAGCATTTGAGCCATTTACATTTAAGGTTATTATGGATAGGTACTTATTTGTTCCCATTTTTATTCTTTATGCCTGTATTCGCCCCCCCCCCATTTCTTCTTACAACAGTCCCTTTAGCATTTCTTGCAGTTTTGGTTTGGCGGCGATAAACTATCTTAGCCATTTTTTGTCGGCAAAGCTATTTATTTCACTTTCAATTTGGAATGATAGCCTTGCTGGTTAGAGTAGTCTTGGATTCGGTCCCTTGCTTTTCATTACAGTGGGACCTTGACTTACGAGTTTAATTCGTTCCGTGACGGAGCTCGTAACTCAAATTACTCGTATGTCAAATCAAAAAGTGAACGAGTGAGACACGTGATGCTGGGCTGATGTTGTGGCGTTCACTGTGACGTTCGC